AGCCATTTTATTATGTTACACACAATGCACAAGTAAGAGTCAAGATGTTCACGGTGCAGTATGTAAGAGACATACACTAGTGTCAATCAAGATCCACATTAATGTTCCAAGAACACACAAGTCTTGCAAGTTTTAATCACAAATAAGCTATGCATATCAATTCAAGTAAAGACACAATAACATAGGGCAGAAGTTCTTGGTTTCATAAACTTTTCCTTCAAGATTATCTACACCCCTGTTCTAGGCTTATCTCAGATTCCCAAGGCCTCACAGTAGCCTTTGGACAAAGACCAGACACCAGAGAGTTACGATGTATGGCTAATCAAGGGAAAAATAACGAAACACAAAACTTTCAAAAAGTAAACTTTACAGAAATTAAAATATCTCACCCAGCGAGTACTGCACACTCGTAAAGTCCTCCAATACTACTCAATAGCAGTTCCAAAAATTTAGATCTATAGCAGATCGACGACTTCATTTGAAGATCCAAGTATCTTGCCCCAGTTTAACGCTCTGATATCACTGAAAGGGGGCAAAAACCTACACGATTAAACCAAGATACAATCGATTGCAGAAACAAAAAATAAACTCACAAAAGTAAAATGAACACAACAGATTTTTCGGCTGAAGCCCCAGAGGTTCAGTGTTTAACTACCTAATCCCTTGTTGAGCATCTAATCAGAATGGATATTGCTCGACTGCCCTAAAAGCCTAAAAAAATCGGCAACAAAGGTTACAAAGTTTAGCCAATACAAGATACACAAGGGAAGAGACTTATCTCTTCAAGAAATTAACATATCTGCTTCAAATCACTCAAGAACTAACAGATTGACTTCTCAGATCTCAACACATGAGAACTCCCTCACATTTACACATTTTCACTTAAGAAAATACAAATATAATATGGCTAAAACATCAAACAACATTCTTCAAATGAGATGTTTGGCAGAAAGATAGAGAAACAAGAAACCCTAGCAACACAAAGAGAAAATGGAACTCTCTCAAACACTCACAAAGAGATAGAAGAAAAATCTAAGGCCAAATGATAGTCTCGTGAGTATATATATCACCAAATATCAAGCCCTCCATCCAACAGTAGTAAATATGCCAAGTGTCTCAATCCAGTGAAATCCCACTTATAAAAACGTGTTTTGTAAATACGTTTTAACTTCTGAAAATTATGGAAGCATAAAAATCGGGTTTGAATCTTAATAGCTCCAACTTTGAAATTTGAAGAAACCAACAAGCACAACATCAAAACGGTTGCAGCCAACTTAGTGTCAAACACATAATATAAATTTAGTGTCAAACAGAGCATTGACATGATTCAAAAATACAATAATCCTTACCTTTTTAAAGTCTTCTTCATATATCACTATATGTGTATGTATTAGCTCTAATGACGTCTATTCCACTGTTTGTTTGTTTTGACTTTAAAGTCTAAAATAATATAAAAGTCGAAAAGCATTTAATGAGCTAACTATTAGTGGATGAATTTAAATTGATAGATTTTATTGTTGTCTATTAAAGTAAATGTACATAAGGTTAAAAATATATTATGATTTAAAAAAAAAAA